TGAAGTCTGGAGGGAGATCCCTCCAGGCAGAAAGAGGAGCCTGTGTGAAAACACTGGGGATACAAGAGCTTGAAATACTCCATGAACAGAAAAGAGTTCTTGTATAAAGTTAAAAGTAGCCTTTGATGGTCAAGAATCCCCTAGTGTTAGGAAGCATATCTTAGCTTGTTTTAACTAATTGTAAGTCTCTTCTCGTCTTTTATCTTAATGTTTTAATCTTTCTTTTGGATTTGAAACCCTGAAACTTATGGTATATTTTAAATGGCTTACCTTAACATTTTAATTGTGAAAAAGTTAAATCTTATTTACCAAACATTTTAAAGATAAAAACTGAGAAACAAGGAGTAGCCAAAAGAAGAGTGACTTGTCTAATTTAGGATGTGGTCACTCAAAGCACTGAGCACTCTTGGCTTTTAGTAACCTAGTGGTTTAGTATTTATGACATTAATATGTTGTTTTCACTTCTAAGCTATAGTTTTACCTTCCTTTGACTACTATGTTATGTTTAAAGCAATTTAAATTGTTTTATTTTAATTTCCAATGTAACTGAGGATTCAAAGCATCTGAACATCTAAGCTTTAGACACTAATCAGGTCGACATATAACTGGCCATAAAAGTATGTAATAGTGTCTTCTTTAAAAATAAAACCAGTCATTCCTGTCTAGTATGTTTAGAATGCAAATGTCTCCAAAGTCAGTCAACTTAAGCCATGACAGTTCATGTTTAAAGGGAGCAGGGATTTGGAACTAAACATTAAATAAAACTGTCAAGACAACCACACAGCTCTATTAAGTTTTACCAGTACCTAATATTCATTCCCATGTTAAACTTTAGTGACTAGATTTACAGAAAATATCGTATGTCAAAGTTTGTATAAAATTAAAAATTGGAGAAGTTAAAAAATATGGTCCAACATAAGGTACTTATAAACAGATACTTATTCAAGACAGTTTTTGCTATAATTTGCAAGGCACCCAGAAGCCTGGAGTATGGGGTTCTATGTAAATAGAAGCTACTTGTTATTCAGAGAAGGAGGTGGTTCGAAAAAAGACAGCTATTTTCTTTCTAAACACTCATTGGTGTTGAGGTAAACAAACAAAAAGCACAGTGTAAGCACATCAGAGCAGAGCAACAGTCTCTAAGTGATAAAAGGTGGGGGAGAAAAAAATGTGCTCTAACATTTTAAATAGGGGGCTGGGGGTTTAAAATGAAATTGGTTCTCTGGCTTTTATACCAGATTCATCACTTCCACATTTTATGTGCTTTGTCTTGACTCCCACTTCACCATATTAGGAAGAGGAAAACATGTGCCCCCAAGATTCCTATGCCAATAAAATTACTTTTGGAAGCACCATAGCTCACCAAATGAAGGAGAACATTGGAAAAACACTAAGTAACAAAAGGACTGAATTATCTGCACTACCGAGTGATAACTATAGGTGCACAGTAATGTAAGGAGCATGAAAAATACTGCAAACTCTAAACAAATATAAAGTGTTGCAAAAATTTCAACTTTCACAAAAAAGTTGGAAAAAAAAGAAAAAAGAAACATAAATGAAAACATTGCAAAGGAGGGGCACTGAGAAGGAAGTCCAGATAGACAGAAAAACAGACGTCAAAAGGGGGTGGGGGTGGTAGTGCAGTTCTTCTGATCATCCCCCTACCAGGAGGTGCTTCTAACAGCTTCAGTACAATCTCCAGGAGACAATTTTAGGCATCCTTAAGCAGACTGATTCAAGAAACAAGAAATGTGCTTTGAGACCGGAGTACTACAGAGATAATACTGAAATTTCTAACTTCAAAACGACAGCCATGAAATCCCCAGACCTTGATTCCCAAGCTTCCTGTAGAAAAATATCAACCATCCTCAGACATAGAAGCCAGCACATTTGAAGTGAACCAGCTAAGTTTTCAGCTGGCCCTCACTGTCTCTTAAAACGTCCTTCCTCCACTTCCCTGCTGTTCTTTCCTGGCACACAAAATATAGGCCAATGAGCGGTGGGCGGGTGAGGAGGATGTGAGAGAAAACTTGAGAAGAAAAAAGGGAATCAACTGAACAAGGACAAGAATGAGACGAAGAGTCCAATAAAGGTAGGCAAACAACAATCACAATGGCTTGAACGGAAAGGGCTTCCTCGGGCAGCAGTGAGCGCTCAGTATTTGCAGGGGTTTAGGCAGAGGCCAGGCTACCTACCACTTGTCAGAGAGGCTGCAGAGGGGACGGCCGCTTTGGGTGACCTCTAATGTCTCTTCCGATTCTGAAATATCCAGATTCTTATTTCATAAAAGCGAAAGCAAAAGTCATAAAGCCCACCGACTTAAAGTCCTTTTAAATAGGCGGCCCTGGCAGCTGCCTCCCAAACACCACTCCCACCTCTCCCTCCCACACGTGCCCACCCGCCCCCTTTCCATTTCTCCACCTCCACGTGCGAAACGCCTCGCGGCAGTCGCCCCACAGCGGATATGCGCCTTCCCCTGCAAAGCACCAAAACTCTCCCCCCTTTGGAGAGGCGAGGACTCCACTCCCCATCCCTGGGCGGCCAAAAAAGGAAGCCTTAAATCCAGCCTTTCCCCCCCAGCCAGAGCTGGGGGTGTGGGGAGGGCGGGACGCAGAGAAAAACTTTCTTCTAAAATTTTTCTTTCAGAAAGCGGAGGGGCAGAGAGAACCCCGGTGAGTCGGGGACTGAGGAGGGTGGGGGGAGGAGAACTTCCAAATCGCTTAACGGTTGCCGGGGGGGGTGATTCCGGAGGTTGAGGGGGCGTCGGATGGAGAAGCAGGCCGGGAGCGGGGTCAGGGAGCTGCAGGGGTTCCTGGGGTCGGGGAGCTGCAGGCGCCACCCCGCCACCTGGCACACAAAGCAGCTGCCGCGCTCGGCTCTCGCCAGATCCTTTGTGTTTTCCATCAGGGCCTCATGGGTAGGGGCTGTCC